CATGCAGTAGAATCAAAGCCCAGCGTCATTGTTCTTGGCTTCTCAGTCAGCCTCCACCGTCAGCCACATTCAGAGAGTCTGGTTTGATCACATGCTCCATCAGTCCCACTCCAACTGGCCTTGGTGATCTCCCATTAGATCAGTCCCACTGTCTCAGTGGGTGAACGCACCCCTTGCTGTCCTGACTTCCTTGCTCATGTTCTCCTTCCTTCTGTTCCTCATTAGGACCTTGGGAGCTCAGTACAGTGCTCCAATGTGGGTCCATACAGAGACTCTTAAAGAGTAATGTAGCTTCCTTTCTCTACATTGGGGAGAGGGCTGTTCTGTTGCATTTTGGGGAAACTGGATTCTAAGAACAGCTGCTTGTCTCAGTGTCTCCTCTAAATGTGGGTTCCAGCCACACAGCTTCTGCGAACCTGGGCTCTGATCCTGACAGAAAAGTGAACACTCAGAGCAGACATGAGCACCGGCTGGCAGAGAATGAGGTAACACCGAAATATAAAATTTTCCCAAACCTAAGCATCAGGTGAATCTCCTTGCAGATAGGACGTGTCTTTGAGGAGATCTGTCCCCCTGATGGCCCCTGACATTCAAGTCTCCATTTCCCAGGGACCTGATCTAAACTCATTAGTCTGCTATCAACGCAGGGTCACAGCCCTTCCAAAGGCCACTCGACTCTGGTGCAGAGTGCCGTGGGTAGGGATTGTTCCAGCTGAGCAATAAAATTCTTACTGAGTCAGAAAAAACTAGGAGAGGATCCCTCTACAGCTTTGTCACCAGTGAGGAACTGACTCACCTTGGCTGAGTTTCAGGAGGCTCCTGGAACTTACTTATATATTTTACTGCAACACCGGCCAAAACTGGTCTGCTTACCACTATTTAATCAGCCACAGGCCATGGCCTTTTTCTAAGGAATCTATGACTACATTCAGCAATAGTCAAAGTCCTTCTGATAATTACCAGTACTGATTAGATCCTAACCATATTCTTGCAGTCACACGTCAAAAGCAAAAGGTCTATAAAGCATCCCTTAGGGAATCTTGGTGGGAACTGACATTTGAGGTCACCAGGTATAAGAGCTCCAGCCCATTCCTGTGATACCTACCAGGTAGGCAGCCGGGGGACCTTTATTCTGGAATTGGGAATATAATTACCAACTATAGTTCTCAAACAGAATTACAAATTTCCACAGTTTCTATGTGTTCATGCAGCCCGAGGTCCTGTGCTGGTCCCCAGAGTCACAAGTGTTTGCCACAGGTTAGGAAGGAAGATAAGGGCAGGGATACAGGAGGGGACTGTTTGGTGGTAAGGATTGTTGTTACTCAGGTTCAGTACTTACAGTCAACCATTAGGTCACAATTTGCTTTCTTCTCTTAAACTATAACATTTAATATTAGGAGACAACGTTGACATCTACAGAGTTTATTCTTGACAACACCACAACAGAGTCAGAAAAAAATCACACAAAAATTGATAGTGTTTTAAGTAAGTTGGTTGGGCCACGTTCATAGCAACTCTGGGCTGCATGTGGCCTCATGTACCTGTCTGTGGGTTGCTGGTTGGATATATCTAGGGCGAGAGAAAGGTCCAAAAGGACAGAGATAAAGCCAGTGAAACAGACCAAATCCATGTGCTCCTGAATCTTCTGAGAAGCCCAGTTCAAACTGCCCACCACACAGCAGAGGGTTTACGCCCTCATGTTGCCAGATCCCTTCCATTCGGGCCATGGACCTCAGGGTGGGTCCCTCTGGGCACAGTGCCTTGTTCACACCCATGGAAGAGGCTCTTGTAACTGCCGCCGAAGGACACAAAGGAGGTCTTTCAGTAGCTCTGGCCTGGTGTGTGAAGGAGAACCTAGCTCAAAGCTGGACACCTCCTGAGTACAGCAGCTTTGCCATGGTTCAGGGAGTATCAGCTGTGTAGAGCAAAATATCATAGAGATATAGGACAGGGCTGGGATATAAAGAATAGCAACTTGAAACATAGACTCTGTAGTCAGGTTCCTGAACTTGAAACATGATTTCATCTTGAGCTACCCTCAGGGAAGAGTTTATACTTGATGTGGGATTCCCCTCTGTATGCTGTGAATATGGTTTATTACCATTGGCTAATAAAGACGCTGCTTTGGCACATGGCAGGGCAGTATATAGCTAGGTGTGAAGTCCAAACAAAGACAAAGAGAGAAAAAAGCCAGAGACAGAGAGACACCATGTAGTTGCCCAAGGAGGCAGATGTCATGAGGCAGCTCAAGAAGCAAGAGGTAACAAACCATATAAATTGATATAAATATAAATATAAATTAATATAAATATAAATTAATAGACATGGGTTCATTTAAGATATAAAAGTGAGTTAACAAGAAGCCTGAGCTAATGGGCCAAACAGTGCTACAATTAATATAGTTTCTGTGTGATTATTTGGGTCCAGGTGGCCTGGAAATGAATGAGCAGTCTCTGCTTATACATACTGATTAAGCACCTGGGTCTGACAGCCGAGAAATCAGGTGTCAACAAACAAATTGGGTTTGGAGAGCAAGCTCAGTGAGTAAAGTGCTTTCTCTACAAGAAAGAGGACCCGAGTTCAATCCCCAGAACCCACATAAAAACACTGGGCATTCTGGTACATATTTGTAAAGCCAGCACTGGGTGGGTGGAGGCAGGAAGGTCCCTGGGGCTTCCCGGCCAGTCAGCCTAGCCTACTCAGCAAGTTTCAGGTCAGTGAGAAAACCCATCACCAGAAAAAAGGACGGGCCAAGCCTGAAGGGTGCCACTTGAAGTTCTGTCCTGACCTGTAATACATATACACACAAGGACGTGCACATATGAACATGTGTACTCCCGTGTAATCATCCATATGAATATTAACATAGACAAGACACACAAACATTTTAAAAATGCACAAGGCCACATCTGCTCTCCACAAGGTCAGAATCTTGCAAATTTTACAAGCTTATGAGCTTGGTAGTGTGGATCTTCTAGGGCTACATACATGGTGAGCGTCTTTGGTCTGCAACCAAGAACAAACCAGTAACCAGATGGGGCCCATGTAGTGGAGACTGTGATACCCTGGGGAAGCGGGAACCCAGGACATGCCCCACCAAGAAAAGCAGGACAGAGAACAGATGATATTCAGGAAGCAGTTCAGCAGAGGGTTTGATCCACCCAGAAGGAGATGGTCTTAAGTCCAAGGAGCAGAGTCTACGGTATTCCAGAGGTCTGAGAGATTAAAGGAAACTGTGACCCTTGACTGGAGGCCAGTATAAAAGCTTCCTGGGCAGTTTGCAGGCCGTGAGAGCTCAGCCCAGCTACCAGAATCTAAGACTCTCGGTCTGCACCCGGGAGTAACCAGAGGTCGGTTCTACACCTTACAGGTACACTGCGCTACACCCCACCACAGGGCCTCCACCCACCACACGCTGAGCAGAAGAAAGCAGGGACTTTACACCTCTCCTGGGGTGGGGATCTTTTACAGGAGTGTCTGAAACTTACATGCAGATTGGAGAGCATATTATACCCTGGTGACAGTGATCTCAAAGTCCACTTCTGAGGATTATAGCTCAGGTTCCAGTTCACACCTGTCTCAGGACACACTCCAGACACAGACACGGGCATCTGAGAGACCAGCATGCCGCCTTGCTCTGCAGCAACCGCCTGTTCTCGCTTACTGGCCTTTCTGTTTTCCTTTTCTTTTCTGTTTAATTTTACAAACTTAAAAGCAGGCACACAGAATAATGGCTTTTGTTACAGTGTTTTATATCCATATCTCACGGATTTTGCTCACATTCAGCCCTCATTGTCTCCTGTCAAATGTTGTGTGGGAGGTGCTTCACAATCGCTGAGACCATCACTCAGTCACTTGATAAATGAAGGTAGAAATCTCAGACATCTCATGGAATGGGCAGGGGAAGGAAAATGGAAAAACAAGCAGAAATTCACGAGAGAAAATGATGTACAGGATTCCACACACAAGCACTTTCCTGCCGGGGAGCTTACACGAAGTCACTCAGTCAACAAATCACCGTTCATGCAGAGGATTATTGTTGTTAAAGGTCTGAAAATAATGTCCAAGGCCTTAATGGGGTTGGCAGGATTTACTGAAAGGTAACCCTGAAGTCCTGAAGTCCTCCTAGGCTTAAATGAGGGAATCTTAACTGTGATGGGTCGTTAAAAGTGATCTGATCATGCAGCCCCGACCCTCTCCCTCTCTAGCGAGCCATTTTCAAAAGCAAAACAAGGGAACTCATGAGCAGGGAGCAGACTGGAATAGGGAGACCCCTAACATTACCACGCTCATCCCATACAGTTAGGGACTCTCTCATTCGCCTCCCAACTTCCCCAATGACTAAGGGTGAGACCCTTGTGTGGCAGGTAACATCCAAGAGACCACGGCCAGTGATGAGGCTCCCTGTGCAGACAACAGTAACATTGGCTGCTGAGTTCTTGCAGTTCTTGCCTGCAAGCTGCAGGAAGGAGCCATGAGGAACATGGCTCCCCATGCCAGAAGAGAATACGCAGGGTCTTCTTTTACTTACTTGGTGTTTTCTTACCTGCCCATCAACCATGGTGTAGTTAGTGGTTTAGTTAGTTTCGTTCACCTCAGTCCTTGGCTCACTAACTTGCATGCTAATTTACTCATTCCTCAAATATTCCTGAGGTGTCTAATATATGTGACATGCTATTTTAGGCAGTAGAGAAGGCCAGGGGAGAAAAGAAGTCCATGCCCATTTCAATGGAGAGCTTGACTTGTATATGGAATGTCTGAAGTTGTTCAGAGCCCTGTCAATAGAGATAAGCAGTAGAACATTCCAGCAAGGAGAGGGATGGTATCTTAATAAGATGGTCAAGGAAAGACTAAGAGGTGAAGATGGATGGAGGGGTGGAAGTCACGGCCCCATTCTGAGAGTGAGGGGAGTGTTTTTTGTAAGATGTGACCAAAAAGCATGTACACCGGCCAGGTGGTACCAGCCCCGAGGCGGCTGTGGTGGCCCTGGTGGTACTCACCTCCTCCAGCCTCCGTCTCTGCTCCTTCTGCTCCTCGATGCGCTTCTGGCGCTCAGCCAGCAGCTGCCTCTTGTGTTCTTCATTCTCACGCTGCTGCTGCTCCAGCTGCTGCCGCCGCAGGGCCTCTGAGCGCTCCTTGTTTGCCAGCTGCAGTCTCAGGAAATCTCGCCGCAGTGTCGACTCCCCTGGCAGGTTCAGAATCGAGCTGTGGACAGGAAAAAACATGGAAAGGCCACATGTGATGAGGGCCATCGCAACTGTGGGTCCTGGGGGAGGATGTGGGAGAACAGGCTTTGCTCCTGTTTCAAGATGACCCTTCCATACGTATGCTATCTCTCTCCCTAAAGGAATATCACATCCTTCTCTAGGACTGGCCACACTACTCTCTCCACAGTGCACGGCAAGGGTGTGATCATAACACTTTAATGAGTGTGCAAGTCCCAAGCCATAGGCAAGTTTATTCCTACATATAAGATATATAGATATAGATAGAGAGACATCAGGGGCTATGGAGATGGATCAATGGTTAAAGAGATTGCTGTGGCAGCATGAGCCTGAGTTATTCTTCCCAGAGCCCACAAAGAAAGCTGGGTCCAATAGCACATGAGTTTGTAATACTACGTTCCTTTGGGAAGATGCAAGGCAGAGGAGGAGTCCAGAAGTTTGGAGGCCGGCTAACCTGGTGTGCATAGCAGCCTTCAATTACAGACTCTGTCTCCAAGATGGTGGAAGGAAAGACCAACGTCAGAGGTTGTTCTCTGACAGCTAGATGTGTGCATCCTGTGCACACATGCATGCATGCACATACAATGCAGCACAGAACAAATACATGTGCATGAAGATACTAGCACTCACACACACACACACACGCACGCACACACACACACACACACACACACCTTACTATATTTCCAGGAGCAAATGCCCTCATATGCACATCCTTGACAGCTTATCCCAAGGCCCAATAGGCAGAGGTCACGCTGCTCAGGGGAAGATGCAATACACCAGGAGAAGCAAAGTTTAAGGTAAGATTGACAAGGATCTCAGGCCAAGTTTGTGCAGTCCGTGATGCCCGGGGCTTGTCTCAATACACCCCTGTTGAAGGGCACGGTTCTCATCATAAAGTGTATGCTGAGGAGACTGACTTCTAGGTTATGTTTAACATTGTAGGTTCAAGTGTACGTGTGCTCACATGCATGTGCATGTTTGTGTATCTGTGTGTGTCAGTGTGTGTGTGTGTGTGGAGAGAGAGAGAGAGAGAGAGAGAGAGAGAGAGAGAGAGAGAGAGAGAACAAACTGCAGCATTACTACTGGTGGTCCCAGGCTTCCGAGGGCCAATCTAACAGCAGATGACCAACTGAAAGTTACGATCTCTGGTTCTTCATGGGCATCAGGAAGATGGAGGATGGCTCCCATAGGTTTCTTTAAACCCAGCACTACTAGGTATACTACATTTCAGAATTTACATAATGATTTATAACAGTAGCAAAATTGCAGTTATGAAGGAGCAACAAAAATAACTTTATAGGTGGGGCTCATTACAACATGAGGGGCTATATAAAGGGTCACAAGATTAGGAAGGCTGAGAACCACTGACTTCAATTTTAGTGAAAGTTTCTACCTAAAATAAACTCATAATTCACATAATTCCTCATTTCTGTTGTGTGTCAGGTACTGGGACAGCATGTAGGGAGATCGCACCAGCCAGATATTAGGTAGAAAATAAAAATGGGGGTTGGAGCTCAGAGGAGGGAGTTTTGAACAGCAGCCCATTCCCATTCTGTGTGTCCAACCGGACTACTGTGGGTTATAGTGAAAACCAAGCTTTCACAAATCTGCCTCACTTCGTAAGTGGCCAACACTATGAGCATCGCAATAATGGATTCTGGCTAGTCTCCCAAAGGGGGTAGGTATGAGGTAACCCAAAACACCAAGGCTTGGGGTGTGGAGGTAGCAAGTGCTCATCACACAAACTCAAGGACCAGAGTTTGATCCCCAGAGTGCACATAAAATGCTGAGCATGCATTTGTGACACCAGTGCTGGGGAGATGTAGGCACGTGGATTCCTGGGGTTCATTTGCCAGATAGCATGGCCTACTGTGCAAGCCCCAGGGCAATAGGTTACCTTGTCTCTGTAACAAGGTTATTTCTGGAGGATGGTACCCTTGGTTGTATAACTATATACACATGTGCACTGAGATGAACATCCCCCCACTCCAAAAAAACCCACTGCCGCTCACTAATGTCTTAGGCATATTATGACCAGAACACCTCTTCGTGGTTGAATGTCCTCAAGACTGCTGACAGACTGTACTGAAATATCCCAAATTAAGGTGCCAGGAGATTTTCCCACCCAAGTGCAATGAGAAAGAGTCTGAACCCTCAAAAGACTCAGTTTCAGTATAATTCATTACATTATGGCTTTGACATCCCTCAATGCGGTTTTCTAGAGGATTTCATGGAGGGAGAAATACTGAGAAGGAAGACTTGGCTCACTGTGATTTGAGAATAAAAATGTCTCACTTTGCCCCATAAATATACTATCTCCCTCATAGATATTCCTAAGAAATTTCTTAAAATCCACAAGATAGAACCCATAGTGCTGCCATCCTTTGGGACAGCCCAGTCCAAACTCTCCTCAGATCGCTTGCTTTGTCTTGTGGTGTAAACTTCCACTGGAACTGTTTCTCTACAGAATTCTTTCCCCTGAGAAGAATCCAGAAAACCTCTATAACAAATAAACATAATCTCTTTCTACAGTTGCTTTCTTGTGAGAAAGATGGACAGGCAAATTAATAGAAATAAAATAGAAAATATTCATAGAGAGGACAGAAATGATAGTTTAAAGGTGCGGTGGTTGAAAGAATATGGCCCCCCAATGGGAGTGGCACTAGAGGGAGGTGTGGCCTTGTTGGAGTAGGTGTGGTCTTACTGGAGGAAGTATGTCACTGTGGGGACTTTGAGGTCTCCTATGCTCAAACTACATCCAGTGAGATAGACCACTTCCTGTTGATGTGCAAGATGTAGGACTCTCAGCTCCTGCTCCAGCACCATGTTTGTCTGCATGCTAACATGCCCCCATCATGATGAAAATGGATTAAACCTCTGAAACTGCAAGCCACCCCAATTCAAGGTTTTCTCCTTTAAAAGAGTTGCTGTGATCATGGTGTCTCGTCACAGCAATAGAAACTAAGACAGAAGGGTTACAATTTACAGTGGCCGGGAGCTGAGATAAGGATTAGGGCTCTGTTCTAAATAGGGTCATCAGGAAGCCCACTCCAGGGACATGAGAAGTGATGGAGAGAAAGGCTGCTCCAGGCAGAAGGGAAAGGAATTCTAGTCCTTGGTGGAAACAGGCTGGTCTTGTCCCAGAACTGGTCTCTGGCCTTTCCTCCAGAGGTAGAAGCAACGAAAAGGAGTGTGAGACTTGAATGATCAGAGACAGATCATCAAGGACATAGATGTACATGGGAGCCATGCATACAAAGTCTGTCGGCTGAGCAAACATGAGCAGATCCACTGGCTTCCAAGTGGACTGTAGTCTGCATGTACAGGAGAGCAAAGCTAGCCGTGTTTCCTGGTGGAAGCTTGACCCAGCAGGGAGCAGTGGAATGAACCTCAACCAAGTATTTGGGGACAGAGTTAATGAAGTTTGTGGAAAGATCTAATGTGCAGGGTAGGGATGGCTTGCACTTTCATTTGGTCTGCTGGTGACCAAGGAACGAGAGTTTTGGGATGTGGGGCAGGTTGTAGGCAGTGGACAAGTGTATCAGGCCGGTTTGGGCCAGCTGTTACAATCTGTGTGAGATGTTGCCATAAGGAAGATCAAGATCTTCCCAGAGGGCATTCCTTGGGCAGTTTGGGAGTCTTCTGGGATCCCCCTCTACAACTTAGTGTCTCTGTAAAACTCTAAAGCAACTTCCAAACAGTGGTGCTTGTACACACAAGTCAAATGTTGTGAGATGCTGTGGGCAAAGGTGATGAGGTTGGGGACCCAATGCCACATGCAGACAAGGATGCCCCACTAATCTCAACTGCAGTTATATTAATGACTCAATTGCTAATTCTGTGTATGACCGGGTGACACCCTTGAGCTATCGTCTCACGTCTCAAATGTGAAAACCATCAGCTTTTTCTACGTTTTAGGATTTCAAGATGACTAATTAGACTTGTTCCAAAATGGGACTTGGTGCATAATCTTCCCCATGATATAACGACATGTTATAATTGTAGCTGGCGGCTCACCAAGTGACCCCTGACACATTGAAAGTCCTGGGAAGCTTGGATCTCTCAGCTATTTAAAGAACAGTCACAACCTGACACAGCCATTCGGGCTGGAAGCTGAGTGTGGCTTTTCTGACAGCAGGGAACAGGACTCTTGCTGCTAAAGAAGGGTTCATTCTGCATGGCACTGTTTGGGGACCATTGTCTTCATGCAGCTCAAGTGGGGGCAACTAACATGTTCTGACAGAAGAAAAGTATTCTTCTTAAGTCTTTAGCCTTGAGAAATCCTGTGGCAGGTGAGAGAGAAAAACTAATGGCCTTGTGAGCTCAGTCCCAACCTCTTAGGATGGCTTAACAAAAACCCAGCTTGTCAGGTTCAAGTTGACTTGAGGCAGGAGTTCTCACCTTCCCAATGCTGCAACCCTAATACAGCTCGCTCCTCATGTGGCGCTGACTCCCAGTCATAAAATCATTTCTTTGCCGCTTCATAACTGTAATTTTGCTACTGGTGTGAATTGGAGTGTAAATATCTGATGCGTGACCACGAAAGGGGTCGTGACCCACGGGTGAGAATTGCTGACATCAAAAGACAACAAGAAGCTGGAACAACGTCACAGTCAGTAAAGCATTTCCGTGCAAGTGTGGGGACCTCATTTGGATCTCCAGAGTTCACGCAAAAATAGTTAGGTGTGGTAGCAATTGCTCGCAATCTCAGTGCTGGTAGGGGAGACCGCAGGATCCCAGGAGCTCACTGGGCAGTTGGCCTAGCCTAGGCAGTGAGCAAGGCCACTGGAGCCCTTGTTTCAAAACACAAAACTGAGCTCAATGGGACTGTGTTATAGTGGTGCCTCATTTTGCTTTGTTTAGGCATTTTGGCCTTCCTGGTCTTTAGCTCGGATGTTATGACTTCTGGTTTTGTACTTTTGTGGTTTTTTGCTTTGTTTTTGTGTCTCCTGAGCTCTTTTCTTTTTGTTATGTTTTTGTGGTTATTGTTTTGTTTGCCTGTTTTCTAAAGAGAGAAAGAGAAAGAAAGAGCATGGAGTGGGGTGGATGGGGAGGATCTGGAAGGAGGTGGGTGAGGGAAACTGATCAGAACATAACATGAAAAAAGCCCTTCCATATATACATACATACACACATATATATATATAAAGGAATATAACATGAAAAATCATATATACACACACATCTATATTTCACATATATACAAAAACAATATAATGCTTGATGAATGATAGCTGAGATCGTCCTTTAAAGTCTATATTGGCTAATTTTTGTCAACTTGATACAAATTAGGGTCACCTGGGAGGAAGTAACCTTAGCTGAAGAATTGTCACTATCAGACTGACCACTAGGCATGCCTGGGGGGGGGGATTAGGGCCCAGTGTGGGCAGGTGGTCCTGGGTTGTGTAAGAAAGCAGACTGAGCAAGCCATGAGGAACAAACCAGTAACCAACATTTCTCCAATTTCTCCATGGTCTGTGCGTCAGTCCCTGCTTCCAGGTTTCTGCTTTGATGTCTCTCCGTGATGGACTACAATCTGCACGGCAGAATAAACCCTTTCCTCCCCAAGTTGTTTCTGGTCAACGTCTTATCGCAAGAACAACACAACAAGCTAGGATCGTCTCCTCATGTGGCCACATATGTTACCCACACACATCAACATGCACAGGGGAGGAATGGAGGAAGGGAGGGAGGGAGGAAGAAGAGGGAAAACTCTGTGTCTAGCTTATTTCTGTTGCATGGTCCCTTGGCAGAACAGAACACTCTGTCAGTGAGGAAGCACCTGCTCCTTACGCTGCAATCCGAGGGCTAGACACCTCGGAGGGCATGGGCCCGTGACCTTTCCACTTGTGCACTTTCTCTGCAATTACCAGTGCATGGTTCATGGGATTCACAGAGCTGCTGCCCTTGCAACACTTTCACCACAGAGAAACCCCAGCACCGTGAGCACACCAGCCGCAGTTACCCATAAATACAGACGGAAGGAAGTTGGGCTCCAAAAGTGAGACAGCGACATTAAAGAGTACTGGGCTCCAGGGGACAACAGGAATGAATGGTGGGGATGTTTCCACCAGGGTTCACCTCTGGAGGACAGTTAGAACCACCTCCTCCAGCCGTGGTCCGTGTGAAATATCAAGACACGCATCAGGAGCCATGACCACCTGAAAGGCTTCCAAGAGGGAGGACACAAGCTGACCGACTCTAATCTGGAATGTCCCTTAGCTCTCTCCAAAGTCGCAATTTTAAATATTTTCAACACTGTGCTAGCCAAGTAATTGCTTCCTTCCTATTCCATATCTACATGTATGAGGAAACAAGGTCAAGAATGCAGGGCCATTCCTCTTGGTGGGTAAGATAAAGAATATGCTGATTTCTGCATTGTTTGTAAGAGTCTGCCTAGGGAAAATTTCACACACCAATGAGTATGTGTGTGGGTGAGACATTAACTCCTGGTGCACTCCTTGAGACAAGAACAATAAATCCAAAGGAGAGTGCAGCTCCAGACTGGTCGTCGGAAGGCCTTCCTCATACCTGGGTTCTCCGGAGTCGTTCTCTTCCTCTTCCTCCTCACTTCCACTGTATTCATACTCAGTCTCATCTGGAGAGAGAGCACAGAGGGTTAGTGTAGAAGATGGTGCTGGCGCTCAGAGCAGACCACCCCTGCTTCATAAACGTCCATGAGCCGCAGAACTGTGTCAAAGGACCTCATTTGTAGCCCCAATCCCATGAGACGATGAAGCCGAAATACAAAACTCACCTGTCTGTGACAGGGCTGCCATGAGCCAGCACAGGAGAATACATCACAAAAGCATGTACAGTGTGTACTACCTGGTAGCAACGCATGATCTCTACACTAATCTATACTAAAAGCTTAGAACATGGGAAGTGCAGGGAATCCTAAATTTAGCCCCACTCCTTTTTTTGTTTTTTAAAGAATAGGTAAATGTGATTGATTCACTAGGAACATTCATTTAATTTACTAAGATAATAAACAAGTTAATGTATAATAAGATTGAATATTTGCTTTAGACATTATCAATATATAATGAGAAAGACACAAGCAGGAATGCAAGATTGCCATTTCCATGGCTATAAAGACAGGAAACGAATGTTCTGGTGGGCATCTCACATGTGAGCAACTCGAGTTAAATGTTTCAGAGTTGTTCTCTCATTTACTTACGATGAGAGTCCTCTAAAATAAGGGAGGTAGTCAGATTGCAAACTTACAACGTCTTTATATTAATAAAAGGTCCATCTGGGATGTATATTTAGAATTCAGTATTGAAAAGGTTCAATGTGAAAACCAAAGTTTCCCCTAACATATTCCATCCCATGCAGATGCACACACAAGACAATGAAAAGTGAGATTGGGGAGCAGCTGTCTCCCCTTGCTCAGAATGGAGGCTGGAAGTAGTGAGCACTGAGCAGGTGCTGAGCTGGCTCCTGGAAGGTCAGTGGCCCTTTCGCTGGCCACAGCAGGAAGGACAGGCAAATGACACTGTGAATGATGTGCCCCCCACTGAGGTTGTCCCCATTATCGGCTCGAGGAACAGCGAGTCCTGAGAAGGCAGGTGTCTGGCGGTGGGAAAGCAGATGGCGAAATCAAGGCCACCGGGGTACAGTGACTCCCGGTGCTGTGCTCAGTACTTTTCTATAGGTGTGAGAAGCCCTTGGAGAAGCATTGAAGCAAAACAAGATGCCACAGGACTGTCACTTCTTTGTGGGTTATTAATTACTAGCCTGAAGACATTCAACAGGACTGAAATTGCAATTTTGCTATATTTCCATTAGGAGGCAGTATTTACAAAAAAAACCAGATTGGTTGAAAATCTATGCAGAGATCAGAGGATGAAGGAAAGGGAAATGGGGTGAGCTTGTGTGCACTGTATAAATGCCAAGCAAGTCTCACACTAGGTGAGCGGCAAGCTCTCAGGCTGCCTGTTTTTAAAAAATGTTTTCACAAAACGTAAAGAACCTGCAATCGAATATCTGTACCTCATATCGAAAAAGCGAGTTCTTACAATGGAAAAACGGTGTTCGTTTTTTACCTAACGAAGGAAGCTGTAGTGAACAAAGAAGCACACGGTCACCCCAATCGTGTCTGTTTTCTAATGTGAACCTTTAACTTGCCAGTCTTTCCGATTTTAACATTTTTTTTTTATCAGATCTGAGCTTGATTTCCTTTGTACTACAGGTCATATACAGCAGTAAAAAATAAAACTTTAGTTCTACCAAAAGCTAGTCATAAAGAGATCTAATGGAAAAGGTTAAAAAAAAATAAAAAGTGGATTAGAGCTAGAGAGGTGACTCAGCAGTTAACACCACTTTCTGGAGGACCAGGGTTGATTCCCAGCGCGCACATGGAGTCTCACAACCATCTAGAATTCCTGTTCCACAGGATCTGATGCCTTCTTCTAGACTCTGTGGGTACCACACATCTGGAACTCCTGTTCCATGGCATCTGATACCCTCTTCTAGACTGTGGTACCATACACATAGTGGTATACATATATACAAATTAAACAAATATTATTTTTAATGTGAGAAGGCCTGAAGAGATGGCTCAACAGATAGGAGCATGTGCTGCTCTTGCAGAGGACCTTGGTTTGGTTCCCTCATCTACATTGGAGGGCTCACAACTACCTGCAACTCCAGTTCCAGGGGAATCTGATGCCCTCTTCTGGCCATCAAGGGCACTGCATGCAGATGGTACTCACAAAGAAAAACATATATAGACCCACCTGGAAATTAAAAACAGACAAAATTGCCTGGCAAAATTTGGAGCATGGGGGCCGGGGGAGAAAAGGAAGAGGAGAGGAGAAGGGGAAGGTTGAGGAGAACTTGAGGGAATGGGATAGTCAAGATGGAGGAAAGACAGATATGAGAGCAAGGAAAGAGATATCTTGATTGAGGGAGCCATTATAGGGCTAGCAGAAATCTGGCTCTAGAGAAATTCTCAGGAATTCACAAGGATGACTCCAGTTAAGGCCCAATGCAATAGAGGAGAGGGTGCCCAAAATGGCCTTGCCCTGTATTCAGACTGATGATTATCTTAAATATCACCATGGAAACTTTGTCCAACAACAGATGGAAACAGAGGCAGAGATCCACTTCAGAGCAGACTGAGCTCCCAAGGTCCAGTTGAAGGGCAGAAGGAATGAAAATATGAGCAAAGAGGTCAAGGCCATGATCAGTTCATTCACTGAAAGAGTTTACCTAAGCTAATAAGAGCTCACAAACTCCTGCTGGACTGGGAAAGAGCAACCATAGTCCCTCTGAATGTGGTGGACAGTTGTATGGCTGGGGCAGACTGAGGGGCCACTGGTACACCGGGATTTATCTCTACTGCATGTACTGGCTTTTTGGGATCCTATTCTCTTTGGATGTATACCTTGCTGAGCCTAGATATAGTAGGGAGGGCCTTGGACCTTCCACAAAGCAATGTGCCTTACCATCTCTGAGGATTAGATGGTGGTGGGGTGGAGGGAACAGGAGGACGGGAGGGAGTGAGAATTTGGATTGGTATTTTTTTAAAAACATCTAATAAATTAAAAAATTAATAAGTATTTTTAGAATTTGAGAGATCAAATCAAATCACTTATTCAGATTGAATACATAGAAAGAGAGCTTGTCTGATATAATCCTCTTCTTTGGGAATAGACAAAAAATAAGACCAAAACTAAGATTCTGGTAGATTTAAGCCCAAAGAGAAATCCTGATTCCTTTCATTTTGATACAGCCCTTACATGTACTTAGCTCCAGGTCCCCTGCTTTTCCACACTACAGAGAATGAAGTTGCCTTCCAATCATGATGGAACCACAATTTCTATGTTACATTTCAGTATTTGTGGCACCAAAATTTGAAAACAACCTGAAACACAAATTTTTCACAATTTTATTCCCTGAATCATCAGAAGGTCCCCTGAACAGTTCCCAAAAGTGATGGGTCAATAAAAAATAGACTGAGTAAGTATCAAAGTTTAGCTATGTACTAGATACAGCATTAAGCGTTTTGCATACACCATCTTCTTCAGTCTTGCAATGATGCTAGGCAAGAAGCTATGATGTCACTGTGGTTTCCCAGTCCCTTTTGAAGGGATGAGAAAACTGGGCTTGCTGTGGAACAATGGTCTTGTATTGGTTTAATAAAACACCGATTGGCCAGTAGCCAGGCAGGAAGTATAGGTGGGGTGACCAGGCAGGAAGTACAGGTGGGGTGATAAGAACAGGAGAATTCTGGAAGGAGGAAAAGTTGAGTATGCAGTTGTCACAGAGGAAGCCAGACACAGAGGAAGCAAGAAGCAAACGCCTCACTGATAAAAAGGTACCAAGCCACGTGGCCAACATAGACAATAATGGGTTAATTTAAGATGTAAGAATTAGTAAATAAGAAAGCCTGAGCTAATAGGCCAACCAATTTATAATTAATGTAGACCTCTGTGTACTTCTTTAGGGACTGAAAGGCTGCGGGACCAGAGGGGACAGAAACCTCTGTCAACATGGGGGTGAATTTCACATAACAGAGTCACAGTTGGAATATGAATCCAGAATTTGAACCTTAAAGCAGTCAGACTATTTAGCCTACTCAGTATGTACATATAAACTCCCTCTTAAAGAATAGGCACTTAATGGCTGTATATTTGACATAATGCTCTCAAGTGCGGTTTTGAACATTTCACTTAATGGCATGGTCCAAGACTAAAACAAGGAGTTGTGGAAAAGTCAGAGATCTAGATCTCTCTGACACCAGCCTACAGCTTTCTTTTCGGGTCTAGCAGCTCCAGCTGGGCTGGTCGTTGGGACCCCATAAACATTTTATACCTGCTGACCAACACTGGCAACGGAGGCCTCATGACCTCCCACTTCTGAGTCTCAGCAAACTGAACTCTTTCGGGGTCCCTGAAACTGACTCATAAAGAAGGGGTCTTTTTCTTGAAGGGTGGCTGAAGAGTTGTCCACCTCCCTGGCTTCTGCTGATGCTACTTGTCAATCCAGTCTGTTTACCACCCCACCTCCATGCCTCTCCTCACAACATTTGTTGCTGCTATGTTATTACAATGTCAAAGAAACATATATACACAGTGAGAGGCTTCCATCTTGTGCTGTCTGCTGCCTTCTGTCTGCTGCCCTGTGCTAAGGACAGGGGAGAGGGTGGAGAAGAAGAAACTGGGAAAAGCACACCCACCTACTGCAGCCTCTGGTCTAGCACACCCACCTACTG